CAGGTTGGTCTCATGATTGTCATGTAACTAAGGATGACTTTTAACTCTTAAAATTTTAATTAAAATATTTTTATATTTTGAGGATTTATTTTTATTTTATGTGTATGGGTATTTTGCTTGCATGTGCTGTGTGTGTGTGTGTGTGTGTGTGTGTGTGTGTGTGTGTGTGTGTGTGGTAGGTGCACGTATGCAGTACCTGGGACGGCCAGAAGAGGGCACCAGGTCATCTGGCACTGGAGGCACAGACAGTTCTTGGCTGTCATAAGGGTTCTGGGATTTGAACCCAGGTCTTCTGTAAGAGTAGCAAGTACCCTTAACTACCGAGCCATCTCTCCAGCCCCTATTTACTTATTTTGAGACAGGGTCTTACCTGTGTAGTGCTGCCTGGCCTGGAACCATTAAAGTAGACCAAGCTATCTTAAATTCAGAGATCTGCTTGTCTCTGTTCTCGAATGCTAGGATTAAAGATGTGCCCCACTATGTCCAGCTAAGTTTTATTTTATTTTTAAGTATTTATATGTGTGTGTATGGGTGTGTGCATGCAGGCACAGGTGCCTGTGGTTTCAGATCCTCTGGAGGCTGGAGTTACAGGAGGCTGTGAGCCACCCCCGTTGGGTGCTGGGAACTGAACTCTGGACCTCTGAGAAAATAGGGTATTGTCTTAACTGCTGAGCTGTTCTCCAGCCAGAAGCAGAGTTGGAGATCTTGTTAAAGATATGTTATATAGGTTCAAATGGGGACTGGGAGAAAAAGGGGTCTCCAGAAAAGGCAGGGGTTCCCAGGGATGGGTACTGGCTGCTTCCTTCCCTTCCCCCTCCCTCCCTCCCTCCCTCCCTCCCTCCCTCCCTCCCTCCCTCCCTCCCTCCCTTTCTTCCTTCCTTCTCTCCCTCCCTCCTTCCCTCCCTCCCTCCCTCCCTCCCTCCCTCCCTCCCTCCCTCCCTCCCTCCCTCCCTTCCTCCGTCCGGCTGTCCGTTTGTCTCTGGGAATTGTGATACATGCCTTTAATCCCAGCACTTCAGAGACAGAGACAGGCAGATCTCTGAGTTCAAGGTCAGCCTGGTTTACTAAGAGAGTTCCAGGACAGCCAGGACTACACAGAGAAACTCTTGTCTCAAAACAAACAAACCAAAACCATCAAGAGAATATTTATATATATATATATATTTGCCAATTCTGTATTGTATACAATGTATTTTTATATATTTACCACCCTCCAGGAAGTTAAATCCTTGATTACCTTTTCCTGCTTCCCAAAATGTTGGAATTACAGACCTGTATCACTGCTTGAGTTACTTTTGTATTGCCATTGTGATGGCCAAAGAAACTCCATTTTACGCCACTAGGCATCCATCTTGGCTGTTTGTCTCTGACTCCAGTCTCTGGAAGATAAGTGCCCAGTAACCCTGACTCAGTGACCATCCCCCCACCCAATCCAAAAACGTCTACGCAGACATTCAGCAACGTTTGAGGTTGTCTTGACTACCTAATCTCAGCAGAGGGATTAGCCTTAGGTTGCTGGTGCAGATACTCAAGGTTTTTGCCTTTCGAAATTCTTCCTTCACTCCCCTTCGCATGGAAATCTCAACTTTGGCTCCAAGACTGTTGTCCTGCTAGCAGTCATTAACACATCTTTGAATTACAATTGGATTGACTCTGTGGTCTTTTCCCTGTGGTCAGGATCTCTATAACACCTTGACGATGACCAAGACAAGTTATAGAAGAAAGGGTAAATTGGGGGCTTACAGTTTCAAAGGGTTAGTTGATGACTGTCATGGCAGGGAGCGTGGTAGCATGTAGGTAGGCATGGCATTGGTGCAGCAGCTAAGAGCTTATGTCCTTGGAACACACACACACACACACACACACACACACACACACACACACAGAAAGAGACAGAGACAGAGAGAGAGACAGAGACAGAGACAGAGAGAGAGAATCTTTCCCAAACAGTGCCATCAACTGGGGATCAAATCTTCAAATATATGAGCTTCTGGGGGGCCATTCCCATTCCAACCACCACAGGGGCTAAGTGGTTCACCCTGCACGCTCACCTGGTGGAAAATCATTCAGAATCACATTGAACTTTAAGACGTATTTGGAACATCTGCCAATTGCTTATCATCTCCAGGCTCAGCAATGTCATTGGAACACCTAAAGGAATTTGTGAGTTTTCAGAATCCTAATTAAACATTTTTACGGTTATTTAAAAAAGCGTATATTGCCGGGCGTTGGTGGCGCACGCCTTTAATCCCAGCACTCGGGAGGCACAGGCAGGCGGATCTCTGTGAGTCCGAGGCCAGCCTGGTTTACAGAGTGAGTTCCAGGACAGCCTCCAAAACAATACAGAGAAACCCTGTCTCGAAAAAACCAAAAAAAAAAAAAAAAAGCGTATATTTGGACCTGTCATAGTTTAACCCCAATACTTGGAAGGCAGAGGCAGGGGGATCTCTGAGTTTGAGGGCAGCTTGGTCTACATAGAGAGTTACAGGACAACCAGGGTTATAGAGAGAGACTTTTGTCTCAAAACAAACAAACCAAAACCAAACTGACAAATAAACAAAAAACTCAATAAAGAACATACTTAAAAAAGAAAATCACTCTTAGGGTTTTTATTGCTGTGAAGAGATATGATCACAGCATTTTTTTTTTTTGTTTTGTTTTTCAAGACAGGGTTTTTTCTGGGTAGCTTTGGAGCCTGCCCTGGAACTTGCTCTGTAGATCAGGCTAGCCTAGAACTCACAGAGATCCACCTGCCTCTGCCAGCCTGAGTGCTGGGATTAAAGGCGTGTGCCACTAACACCTGGCAAACAAATCTCTTTTTCATTTATTTTTTTTAATCTTATGTGCATTGGGGTGTGTGTGTGTATGTGTGTGTGTGTGTGTTGTGTGTTGTGTGTTGGTCCTTTGGAACTGGAGTTACAGAGAGGTGTGAGCTGTCACGTATCTGCTGGGAATTGAACCCTGATCCTTTAGAAGGGCAGTCAGTGGTCTTAACCACTGAGCCATCTCTCCATGACTGATCCCAGCAAATTTTTTGTTTTGTTTTCTTTTGTATTGCTTTGGGGGTTGTCCTGGACTCTCTCTGTAGACCAGGCACAGCAATTTGTATAAAGGAAAACATGTAATTGGGGTGGCTTATAGTTCAGAGGTTTAGTCCATTATCTTCATGGCAGGGAACATGGTGGCATGCAGGCAGACAGGGTGCTGGAGAAGTAGCTGAGAGTTCTGTATCTGGATGGGCAGGCAGCAGGAAGAGAATGCCCCACTGAGCGGGGCTTGAGCATCTGAGACCTCAAAACCTGTCCCCAGTGACACACTTCCTCTAACAAGGCCACACCTACTCCAACAAGGCCATACCTCCTAGTAGTGCCACTCCCTATGATCCTACCGGGGCATCCATTTTTATTCAAACCATCACAATCATGAAAAAGGGCCACTGGGAATTTGAGGGAAGCACTGCAGAGCTTCATTCGTATCATGTTAAGAGATCAGATCTGTGTCCTCACCTGAGTGGGAGCTAAGTTAGGGTCTTCTAGATCAAAGGAGGGGTGTGTGCAAAGTACCCAGAGTGAGCTGGCTGATGATCACCTCCAAAAGATGGGATCTCTGAGACACTGGAGAAAGGAGTAGGCTCAGAAGCCAAAGAGGTCCCACCCTGGTCCAGACCACCAGTGTCCCCTCCTCTGTGGTTAGTGATAGGGGAATGAGAAGGTCTGGAACCAGAGGGAGGTAAATGCTCACAGCATTTCCTAAGCAACAGACTTTTGCCACTAATGCCCTTGAACATGATTTTTTAATTTGTGTGTGTCTGTATGAGTGTGTATTGTATGTACGTGCCTGTGTGTGAATGTGTATGTATGTGTGTGCACGTGTGTGTCTGTATGAGTGTGTTTTGTGTGTATGTGCATGCCTGTGTGTATGTATGTATGTGTGCATTTGTGTGTGTGTATGTGTACATATGTGTGTCTGTATTGTGTGTGCCTGTGTGTATGCATGTGTATGTATGTGTGCATTCGTGTGTGTCTGTATGAGTGTGCACATGTATGTCTGTATGAGTGTGTACTGTGTGTATGTATGTGCGTGCACATGTGTGTCTGTATGAGTGTGTATTGTGTGTGCCTGTGTGTATGAATGTGTATGTATATGTGCATTTGTGTGTGAGTGTATGTATGTATGTGTGTGTACATGTGTGTCTGTATGAGTGTGTATTGTGCGTATGTATGTGCCTGTGTGTATGAATGTGTAAATTTGTTTTTTCCTTCCACTAGGAGGTTCCAGGGGTGAAGCTCAGGCAGGTCACCAGGCTTGGAGACAAGTGAGTTTAGCCAGTGAGCCATTGCATGAAACCCATCAGAAGAGTCTGGGCTGGTACCGCTTGGGCTTCTTTACTAGTTTTGTAGTCAGATTAAAAAAAATGCTATTCAAATCACCTGTGTAAGTAAGACGCACCCGAGCTTGCTATAAACATCCCTGTCTCCAAAGACCTTTAACTAGGGACGATAATTTGCCAGTTGCAGTCATCCGGGGAGCCACTGCTATTTCCCGGCCCCTGAGGTGTCAGTGAAGTTTTACAGCGCCGACAGCTGGTGGAGAAAGCAAGAAACAGGCCACGCATAAAGGGGATCTCGTGTGACAGACAGTTCACTGGATTTTAAAAACATAACCTTCTAGAAAACTTTAAACAGGAGCCGCTCTTTAAATGGCCTCTGCGGCCGTTTCAGTCTTCACAACTCTGTTGTTTGTTCAAAGCCCTCCTGGATAAGGTGGCTTTTTTTCTGGACTTTTCCCTAGGCTGCAGACTCCCCTGCGTGTGCTCCACAGTCCGGGTCCCCCCAGGCCCCGCCTCGCCTGCCCTAGGCATCTCTCCATAGGTCTGTGATTGGTGCGCTCTGGAGCTCCAGCCTGGCCTTTTAGGGACTGTTGTCAGGCCTCTAAAGTGATGAGGGAAAGGGTCCAGCGGCCGCTTTTATCAGCCAATCATTTCCCTGACATCTCAGACGGAGGGGGAAACCCAGGATGCCTCCCTGTTGCTCTTTAGCCTCTGGGTTGGAGTGGGGGAGGAGGGCTGGGAGCCGAGCCTTGGAACAGCCGCCAACCCCCGACCTGACCTGGCACCGGCTGGCTCCCCGAGTGAGCGTCACTTCGGGATTTGTCTGGTGACTTCCCTAGCAGGCAGGGGTGTGTTAGGGGGAGTCCTCTTCCCGACTGTCGACATGGTTATCAAAGTGTTTGTTGCCACATCTTCTGGGTCAATAGCGGTAGGTGTCTGGGGCTCTGTGGGCTTTTCTTCCTGTGCGAGTTTTCTGGAGGAGCAGTGGGGGTATGCCCAGGCTTCGGTCTTGAATTCTGTTTTTGTTTTTTTCCGGCGTGCGAGTCAACTTCACACCACAGCAGCTCAGCGCGGCGAGCATGAGTGCCCTTGGCGTCTCTCATTTGTCTTCAAAGTGTGTGAAGTGTGTAATCCGGCAGGTGGGCGTGAAACGTGACTGGAGGGAGGGGTACTCCATGCTCGGCTTCAACCTGTGCTCCGTGTCCTGTTGGTAGTGCGGTGTGGTATTTATGATTCACCGGCCTTTGATTTTTGAGTGCTTTACCATCTGTCCTGTAAGGCGCAGACCAAAACTTGAAGAAAAAAAAAAAAAAAAGAAAAAGAAAAAGAAAAAGAAAAGACGGCGCATTGGGCAGAGCTGAAAAAAGACCGCAGGGAGTAATTCCTCCTATTTTCGAAATGGCTGGAAGCATAAAGACAGTGGGTGTGACTTTATTATTTGTGGAAAGCGATGCCACAGGGACAACAGCAAAGCCATCCGAGGCCACAGTTTTAAAAACTCTCGGAACTGGGGTGGAAGCCCACCAGTTCCACACCGTGGCTTTGCCTGGGTTTCTTGAGACGACTCACCTCCTGGTTCAGGCGTTCGTTCTGTCTAGACCCACCCGCCAAAGAAGGGCAACCCAGGGACTCAGTTCTCCTAGAAATGAGCCAGAGATTGGCTTCTGACTGGGATTTAGTTTCTGTCTGGAGTGAGGTTTTGGCCAGTGTTTTGGGAGAAAAAAGTGAGGCCGTGGGAAGAAAAGAGTTTATTAATTCTGAGAGTTAAGAGACCAGAGAGGGGGGTGTTTCCTTTTATAGCTACTTCCCGGAGGGTCTCAGGTTGCAGCTGGAATCCTGACAGTCACTCAGGAGAGATGTTTCCAGGCCCTGGCTAGGTGCCAGCCCCAACCATAGCTCGCCGAGGGCCAGCACACCCAGACCTAAACATTCAGGAGTGTTTCCAGAGAGGGCGAGCAGAAAACAAAAGGGTTTGGCAGACCCACCCACACATCCATGATGGTTTCTGTGATTCTGCTCATTCTGTAGGATGTAGACTTCGAGACAGATGACATGTCATGTTATTTCCCCAGTGACCTCAGACCCATAATAGGACAAAAAGAGGAGCACACATCTCCAATGGAGAATTCCAAACATAGAGACTGCAAATGTAAATCTTTGGTGACTGTTGACAACTATGGATATAAACAATATATGGATATAAATAGCTTCTGCAGTGCTGGGTTTAAACCTGGGGCCTCACAATGCTATGTAAATATGCTAATTTACCACTATGCTACATACATCCTGAGAGTGCATGTTTGGGTTTTTTAGATTGAAAATATTTTTTCAAGAATAATGGCTTTGGTGGGCCTTTTTTTGAAGTGGGTTTATTTTTATTTTTTAAAAAGACTTAAAATAATTTATTTTTATTTAGTGTGCATTGGTATTTGACCTGCATGTATGTCTGTGTGGGAGTTAGAGCCACTAGAACTTAAGTTACAGACAGTTGTGAGCTGCCATGTGGGTACTGGGAATTGAACCTGGGTTCTCTGGAAGAGCAGCCAGTTCTATTAACCACTGAATGATCTCTCCAGCCCCTGGGGTGGGTTTTAAATGTTAGTACTCATTGTTGAAAGTTCTTACCAGTCGTTTATTTGTTTAAAATTGTATGTGCATAGGTGTTTTGCCTACGTGTAGGCCTGTAGACAACACAGTGTGCTTGGTGCCCATAGAGGCCATAAGAGGCTTCAGATCCCCAGGACTGGTTTACAGATGATTGTGAGCCACCATGTAGGTGCAGGGAATTGAACCCAAGTCCTCTGGAAGAGCAGCCAGTGTTTTTAACTACCGAGCCATTGTTCGAGCCTCAGCCTTTTATCTGTTCTGACTTTGTTTATATTTATATTTGTTTATATTCTTTAGACAGTAGGGATAAACCCACAGACTTCTTGTTTGGTTTATTGTCCTGCCTTCCTGAAGCCTGGGGTCTCGAGTTGCTGAGTTAATTTGTGACTCCCAAGGCAAATGTTTCAGCGCAACTTGTAACTGTGTAACCTTGGAGGAGGGTGTTTCTCTTTCCTAAGCCTCAATTTCCTTGTCTGTAAAATGAAGATAAGAATAGTGCTCACCTCAGAGCTGGGTCACGAGGACTCCCGAGGCACCACACTCGGGTGCCCAGCACCGTGCCAGGGCCTGACTTGGAAAGTTCTGTGTAGTCACCGGCAGCTGTTTGTTCATGTTAATTGCTCTTCTAATTTTTATTGGCCACCATTAACTGATACTAATGCGCATTGCAGTTGGCATCATTATCAGTCACTGTGACTACTGGCAACTGTTTTTAGTAGCTCTAGGGCTATGATATTAGAACTGTCTAAAACCAAGGAGGCAGAAGGGTGCTTGTCTTGTCATTAAGATTGAGGGCTCACCACCCCACATCTGTACCGCCGAGTGTTCAGGAACGGGAGTTTCACCCAACAGCTAGCTCCTTGTCGGGAAAACTGTGCAGGGGGCTACTCATGTTCCTGTTACATGTGTGTTGGGTGGTCTGCGAGGTCACATGCTTAGAAAATGAATTCCGGCCCAGCAGAAAAGTAGCCAACACTCTCATTGATAGGAACTGAGTAATGTTGTGCATCAGCCCCATTCTAACAATCACAGTCAAAGGTCTGGGCCACACTGTACCCTGTTTGAGACAATTTTGGCCTAAGGGGTCAAGGGAAGCAGGAAAGGGTAAGTGTCCGCTCACATGGCCCCCTTCCTTTCTAGAAGGCTGTCACTGTAGTGGGGACAGAGAGGACAGAGAGGGTAGTCCTTACTGTTTCCAAGGTGTTCATTCCCTGGGGTGGCAACCTCTGTGACGGAGGATACGGGACTCCCAGGTTCCTCAGGCCCTTCTCCCACTAGATGGATGGTATAAATGTGACAGAAAAAAAAAAACAGGACTCTTTGTGCACGTGTGCATGTATGTTTGTGAGTATGGTGTATGAGCATGTATGTGCATGTATGTATCTTCACACACATGCAGAGGCCAGTGGAGGATGTCCAGTGTCCTGTTCTATCATTACCTGCCTTATTCACTTGAGACAGGGTCTCAAATTGAGCTGGGAACTAGGTTATCAGCCTGCAAGCCCCAGAGCTCACCCTTTCTCTGCCCCCCCCCCAGAGACTGTGGTTACATGTGTGGCCACACCCAGCTGTTTTATGCCGGTTCTTGGATCTGAACTTGTGCTTGTGCAGCAAGTGCTCAATCCACTGAGCTCTCTCTCCAGCACCCCACCCCTCAAAAAAGAAAAAAGAATAATTATTTTGATCTGGGTGTCAGTATTAGAAAACTTGTTGATACTTTAAAATAGGCGTGATGGCACACTTGTAATCCCAGAACTTAGGAGGCCAGAGCAGGAAGAGCATGAGTTTTTTTGGCCAGCCTGGGCCACATAGCTAGTTCTGGGACAACCTGGACTGTGTAGTGAGACCCTGTCCCAAGCAATACCCCAACAGTGAAATCCCCACCTGCTGGCATGGCCAGCCTAACTGGGAAAGAACGGTGTGTGCTGGGTGCCCAGCAGTGCATGGTCTCTGCTACAACCCAGAATGCATTGCCACACATCGCCACACTCAGTTGTCACCAACACCCCAGAGGAAGGCGTCTTTGTGTATACTTTGCAGACCAGGGAATCAAAGCCCCAAGCCCTTGCTTGAGAGCACCCTTGGAGCTAGGGCATAGACAAAGGTCACCCCCGACTCCCATCCAGCAGGCTTCACACTATAGTAAGGTGACCTCACTTGGAAAGGCTCCTCACTGTACCAGACAAATAAACAAGAGGCTTTGAGAGGCGTGTCTGTGGATCCTCAGTCACGCTGGAGTGGCCAACAGTGACTTGCCAGACTTCAGGACAAAGACAAAGCTTGTTGGGGCCACAGGATAGGAAAAACGCTCTCCCAGCCTCCACGGAGGTCCCCAAGGCTCCAAACAGTGACCCGGCCCCCAGGGATCTCCAGACCCTGCAGACCTGTTCCTCAAGACAGACAGTTGGGTGTAGAAGCAGCAAGGCCTTTTGGCATCCTGAGGATAGAGAAGGGACGTTGGGAAGATGTGGAGTGAGTCTTGAGGAGATCTGCTGGGGCGCCATGTGCACCGCTCTCCCAGCTGCAAAGGGGGAGGAGCCCTCTGACAGCTGGCGCTGTGTGCTTGGGGGGGGGGGTCAGCTCAGGCGGCTACCTGGAGAAGAGCAGCCCTTTAGGAGGAAGACTCAATCAGAGTACTCCAGCAAGGTCCCACCAGGGGGGAGGATGAGGCGGGTGAAGGTATCCACCAGAGAGGCACCCGGGTCCTACCTCCTCCTCTGGGCTTGACTCTAGGGCCCTTCCTTCTCTCAAGCTCCCAGGCCAGGCCTCCTCACTTGTTCCAGTCAGTCCCAGGAGACTGTTTTAAGCGGTCCTTGGTGAGTCCAAGTCGCAAACATTTTCTTCTATTTTCTTTTCTGGGTGCTGGGAGTTGCACTTCGTATAGGGTCACACCCGCACCTGTGCCAGGACCCACAGCTCCATTGCCCCGCCACCCCGCGATCCTTTCTAACAGAAACGTGTGATTTTATTGCTTTCAGGCCGCGCATAACTATCCACGCTGTGCAGCGAGCACAGCTAAAAGGAAATGAAGCCGTGCAAGCGTCGGCGAAGCACGATTCAAAAACACAGCTGCGACACAGCATTGTAATGCAGTAATGATTATTTTTCTCTGCTCTTAACCCAGATAAGGAAGAAGCAGCAAGAAGTGGTGGGCTTTCTGGAAGCCAACAAAATAGACTTTAAGGAACTGGACATAGCTGGGGACGAGGACAACCGGAAGTGGATGAGAGAGAACGTCCCCGGGGAGAAGAAGCCTCAGAATGGGATTCCTTTGCCTCCTCAGATCTTCAACGAAGAGCAGTACTGCGGGGTGAGTATTCGGCATTCTTCTGTGCATTTATCAGGATTATTAGCTGGCTAACTAATGGACTAATGTGTGTGTGGTTTGCATTTATCAGGATTATTAGCTGACTAACTAATTGACTAATGTGTGTGTGGTTTGCATTTATCAGGATTATTAGCTAACTAATTAATGTGTGTGGTTTGCATGTGTGTGTACCCATGCATATATGTGTGTGTGAGAGAAAGAGAGTAGTGTGTGTGTGTGTTAGAGAGAGAGAGAGAGAGAGAGAGAGAGTGTGTGTGTGTGTAGGTCAGAGGTTGACACTGGGTGTCTTCTTCAATCACCTTCTACTTTGTTTTTTGTTTTTTGTTTTTGAGGCAGGGTTGCTCAGTGGATCTGGAGCTCATTGATTCAGTTAGGCTGGGCAGAGTTGTGTGAATCAGCCTGTCTCTGTCCCCTGGCCAGCACCAGGTGAACAGACATGTGTTGTGCTCTGCTTCTGTACAGGCTCTGGAGACCTGAACTCACCCCCCCCCCCCCCCCCGTTTGCATAGCAGCCACTTTATACTTTATCCACTGACCCATCTCCTCGGCCTGTTTGCCAGAAATTGTTTAAAGCAGATTGGTTTCGAGACACTGCTTGAAACTGTTCACACCTGCCAGGTCACGGTCTCTTTCTTCTATCCCACCAACACGTAAGCGTGAGAAGATGGTTTGCAGGCATTTTAGGTTCTGCGGTTTCGGAGGATTGAAGCCAGTTGTTTTTACACAAAATCTCCACTTTCGATAGAACGGGGTGGGTTTTACTTAGCTTTGGGAAGTGCATGCTCAGTGGATACGTGATAAATTCTTGAAAGCTGTCCTTATGCCAGAAATAGGGTGAATTTGTTCAAACCCACCCTGTTAGTTTAAATGCATTCTGAGCATTTGATGATAATAGCGATTTTATTCATATTTTTTTATCGCCTTTAATTTTTTTTGTTGTGTGTGTGTCTGTGTACATGTGTATGGGTGTGTGCAAGCCACAGCATATGGGTGTGGAGGTCAGATGAAATTTTTGGGAGCCAATTCTCATGGGCTCTGCGGACTGAGCTCAGATTGTTGTACATGGCAGACTTTACACACTGAGACCGTATGCTGGCCTGACAAGTCCGTTTGAAGGACTTAATAGTTTATTTCAACTTCCTCAGAGTTTACAGGCTTTGCATAAGATAGAAAATTGTTGAAAGGAATCATTTAAAAAACCCAAAAACCCATGGACTTTAGCCGTGAGACATGGACATACAGTGGGGTCATCCCTCCTGTGGAGGAAGAGGGTGCTGGCAAGCAGAGGGACTTGTCCGTTGTGGCGTTGCATCTGAGATCTGGGCCCAGGCGTTCGGGGATATGCAGTCACTTCTTGGCTCCTGTGCTCGCCGTCTGAACCACCCTGTCTTCAAGCAGATGCAGGCTAACTCCTGCTGTTGCCAGTCTCTGTCTCACTAGACCTCATCCACAAGAATTCATTCACCAACCACCTGAGCTGAAGTCATACGGTGGCTCAGCCGAGAGCTGGGAACCAAGATCATGCATACAAGCCACACAGCCCAACATACTCATTACATGGCCGTGTGTGTGTGTGTGTGTGTGTGTGTGTGTGTGTGTGTGTGTGTGTGTGTGTGGTTGTATGTCAGAGGACAACCTTGGGTTTTGTTTCTCAAGCACCGTCGATCTTGCTCTGTCTAGATGGGGGGGGTCTCTTACTGGCATGGGACTTGCCCAGGCTAAGCTGGCTGGGGAGTCGGTGCCAGGATCCATCTGTGTTTGCCACCTTGGTACTGAGGTCCTGGGTTTCTTTTACATGGGCTCTGGGGATGGAACTCGGGTCCCCATGCTTGCAAGGCGGGCAGGCCATTGACTGGTCAATGCCTCCAGACGCACTGTCTGCTCTTCCGCACAAAAGCTTCTGAGCTCTGATTTGAAGTGTGGCATGGTCTTATCACGACCACTACAGCTGCAAATATCTTACTTCCAAATAAGGTCGCTTTCTAGGGCTCCAGGTGGATGAGGGCATGTCGGGGAGGCACTTGAGCCTGTCATAGGACTGCACAAATTTGCAAGACTGAATTAGCTTCTTGAGAGGCCCCCGGCACCCAGCTCCCAAATAATCACAGACACGGAGACTTACTCTTATGAGTGCCTGGCCTTAGCTTGGCTTATTTCTAGCCAGATTTCCCTAACTTAAATTATCCCATCTACCTTTTGCCTCTGGGTTTTTTCCCTTCTCTTACTTCTGTTTGTCTTACTGCCCCTCTTACTCCGTGGCTGGCTGTGTGTGGCTGGACCCTCGTTCTCTTGCTCCTCTTTGACCCCTTCACACAGATTTCTCCATCTTTTTATTCCCTCTGCCTGCCAGTCCTTTCCTTCTGCCTCTCTATTGGCTGCTCAGCTCTTTTAATTAGACCAATCCGGTGTTTTAGACAGGGCACAGCAACACAGATTTATGAGGTTAAGAAAATGCAACATAAAATAATGTAATACACCTCTGCATCATTAAACAAATGTTCCGCAGCAAAAAAACAAAAACAAAAACAAATGCAATACACCTTAAATTAATATTCCCCAACAAAGCACCCACTGCCAAGCCTGATGACCTGAGCCCCGTTGTCTGCTGACCCCCCCCACGCCCGGCAGCATGCTCACCTCCCCCATGGTAAATATGTAATGAAGTTAATGAAAGGCAAGGGAATCCATTCTCCACCCTTCTCCCACCCCTCCTTTGCATCTTACTAGACAAGGAGGAGGCTGACGCAGGAGCCAGCTGTGGCAGCAAGGGATTTTTGCTTTTGCTTTTTCTGTAATAGGTTCTTTAAAACACAATAAAATGTATTTAGTTTTATTTTTGAAATTTATCTGTGTGCGCCCAGACACCTGCTTCTCTGTGCGCATGTGCATATGTATGCGGTACCCACAGACGCCAGAAGAGGGCATCAGGCCCCTGGGAGCTGGAATAGAAGGTGGTTGTGAGCCACCTGATGTGGGGTCAGGGACAGTCTGTGAGAGCAGCAGACACTCTCAACCTCTGAGCCGGCTCTTGGGCACACCAGTTCCTCTCGTGTGTGTGTGTGTGTGTGTGTGTGTGTGTGTGTGTGTGTGTGTGTGTGTGTATTTTTTATTTAAAGTAGAAACAAGCTTGTTTTACATGTCAATCCCAGTTCCCTCTCCCTCCCCTCCTCCCCTGCCCCCCACCAGCCCCTTATCTTATCTCCTCTCTGCTCCCCTAGGGGTGAGGCCTTCCATGGGGGGATCTTCAAAGTCTGTCACATCATTTGGAGCAAGGCCAAGAACCTCCCCCCGTGGATCTAGGCTGAGAGACTATCCCTCTATGTGGAATGGGCTCCCAAAGTCCATTTGTGTACTAGGGATAAATACTGATCCACTACCAGAGGCCCCATAGACTGCCCAGGCCTCCTAACTGACACCACATTCAGGGGGTCTGGATTGGGCCTATGCTGGTTTCCCAGCTATCAGTCTGGGGCCTATGGGCTGCCCCTTGTTCACCAGTTCTAAGTAAACTTAGAGAAAGTCATACTTGCGGACACTGAAAGATGAACTGATTTCAAAGGGTCTTCGTGGTGAATCACTGCTATCTCAGTTCATGCTCACAGTTCACTGCAGCCCCCTGAGCCGAGCCAGCTCCATGCTCCCATCTGGGAGGTCACAGGGGCTTTCCTCTCAGAAGGGGTCTGTACTTGGTCTAATTCTCTGCTGCCGTGTGTTAATTCTCAGCCACGTTTAAAACCAAAGGCACAGTGGATCAACTTTGCTCTGGCCTCAAATATAAAGTAGGCTTTCCTGCCTGGAGGCAACCAGTGTTGGTAACTTCTTGTTTGAAATGTCCTGTGTGTACTTGTTGTCTCTAAATAAAGGAGTGAGGGCCGGGGTCAGTCTCACTACATAACTTCTTCTTTTATTATATTCTAAGAAACCATTTGTCCACTTTGTGGTTTTGTGAAACCTTAAAGCCATTAGGGTGATGGGAGAGATGGCTCTCCGGTTAAAAGCACTGGCTGCTCTTCCAAAGCACCCGGGTTTAGTTCCTAGTAGCTACTTGGTAGCTACGACCAGCTGTGACCCAGGTTCCAGGGGATCTGATACCCTCTTCTGGCCCCTGCAGATACCAGACATGTACACCGTGCACAGACAGGCATGCAGGCAAAGCACTCATGAAATAAAAATAAGATGGCATTAAACTTAATAGTCTGTCTGTGCTGGCTAGTTTTATGTCAGCTTGACCCAGGCTAGAGTCATTTGGGAAGAAAGGACCTCAATTAAGAAAATGCCCCCCCCCCAGATTGGCCCACGGGCAAACCTGTGATGCATTGTGTTGGTTGACGACTGTTGTGAGCTCACTGTGGGCGGTGCCACCCCTGGGAAGGCGGTCTGAGCAAAGCCATGGAGAAAAAGCCATAGGTAGCACTCCTCCATGGCATTAGCCCCTGCCCGCCTCCAGGTGCCTGCTGTGTTTGAGTTCCTGGCCTGACTTCCCTCTAAGAGATTGAAAGTGTAAGCCGAAATAGACCCTTTCCTCTCCAAGTGGCTTTGGTCATGGTGTTTTGTCACAGCGTAGTAGAAACTCTTAAGATACTGTCGCTGTATCTTTCCCCACGACTGGAATGAAAACTCAGCCAATCAGGTGTTCTCACGGGGTCATGTGGATTCTTTCTTGGCCAGCCGTGTCCTGGGCCCTATGAGAGACAGCAGCAGGCGTGGGGCAGGGGCAAGCAGCGGATGTCTGTGCACCAGGAGGTGATGTCCCTGTAACGATAAATGGCACACTTGTTGAGGGTGTAGGTAACTGTTTATTGTAGGAATTACTTACAAGAGAAAAACGGGCAACCCAGACGAGTCAGGTAGCTTTCCTACCACCGAACCAGAAGCCAAAAAGAGCGAATGTGGCTCTGCTGCAGTCTTTTATAAGAACCTCCGTACACGCCTCTAGCCACGCCCAAGAGTGGGCCTGGCTAGCGGCGTAGTTCACCGTCCCGTCTCTAGTCACGCCCAAAGTGGGTGTGGTTAGCACCGTCCTATCATTACTACATCCTTAAGCGCCTCTAGCGGGTCTCTTCCTACAAGGTGAGAGCTTCAGGTGTCCGGAAACCCTGCGCATCTGCTGTACAGAGCAGATGAAGTCACGTCGCGAATCATGGCAGATAGGGTCAGAGAAAGGCAACAGCAGGTGGGAAGCCCTGCACAGTCAAGGCTAGGTTACCCACCTGCGAGGGAATTCCTGCCGGAAGCAGTAGGGATGCCTGCCAATGACAAGCTGACTCGGGCTGGGGTGACTGCCTGAGGACCAAGGCAGCCTAGGCTTGGGCACAACCAAAGAAGACTTGGCCATTGGCACTCTTTATTAATCTAGATGTGGACACCCCTGGTATTCAGGGAAGTGGGGAAGGGCAGACCGCAAAACCAGTGAGTGGGTGGGGAAAAGGACCCCTTACATCTTGTGATTAAGGGGACCCTGTGCACCTGTCCCTAATCACCCTCCTCCCCTCCCAGTAGTCTTCCCTCTGTTTCCTGTGTGTGTGTGTGTGTGTGCGCGTGCGTGCGCGCGCGCACGCTCTTGTGCTTTATTTTATGGCTTCACGGCTTAGTTATCTGTTGACAGAGCAAGCTGAGAGGATGTTTTGCATTTGATGACTGACAGATAAGGGAGTACTGGGTTTCAGTACACATACCAGCTCCCGAGTGCATAACGGTTTCAAGTATTCTCTTTCTTTGCTTCAAGGATTTCGACTCCTTCTTCTCTGCAAAAGAAGAAAATATTATTTATTCATTCCTTGGTTTGGCTCCCCCTCCAGGGTCAAAGGTAAGCTTGAACGCCCTGTGTGGTCCTGTACAAGCTGTAACAAAAGAAGATAGCAGCTGACACACACTAGTGCTCATCAATGGCGCTCTAAGCCAACATGCTTTTAAAAAAAATTATAGAATGCTTCATGAATTTACATGTCATCCTTCTATGGGGCTCTGCTTATCTCTGTACCGTTTCAGTGTGTGTGTGTGTGTGTGTGTGTGTGTGTGTGTGTGTGTGTGTGTAGTTTCTGCACCGACACAGTTTTAATATATACTTCATTGAGGAATTATGTGCAGAGATATAATACAGAGGGTTTTCACCAGACAGCTTTTCAGTTATGCTTTCATCTTGTCCTCATAAATCTTACAATATTTAGGAAACATGAAGGCACTCCGGAGGCAGAGGCAGGTGGATCTCTGAGTTCGAGGCCAGCCTGGTCTACACAGAGAGTTCCAGGACAGCCAGGGCTGCACAGAGAAACCCTGTCTCCAAAAAACAAAAGTAACAACAACAAACAAAACAAAACCCCACATAAACAAAGGAAACATGAAGGCTAGGGGTGAATCTGGGGGTGGGGTGCAGCTCGGTGTGATCACCTATGCAGAGGCCCTGGGTTCAGTTCTGAGCGTTGGAATGAAGAATAGAAAAAGGGGAGGCAGGCGTGGTATCATTGTGTTGAGTTACGTAAGTCCATCCGTGAGACCCATCAATGTACAGAACCACTTCAGTGACTGTGAAGTTACACTGTCACGAATGACTTCTCATCTGTCCCCCGAACGCTCACTTTGCAAATGCATCTGCCCTCGGCTTAGTCATTTCCACTTGACATGAAATTGCTTTTTTGTTCTGATAAGAAGGGGACAGAGAGTGACATCTAGAATTAAGCATGGTACGGATTTCATCAGCGCTTCTCCTTAGTGCTGACTCCTCTTTATTATGTATAAGGGGTGCACAGGCTGCTACAAAGTTCAGCTGTGAATTTGGAGCTCTAGGTAGAGAACTCCCTCCTCACTGAACACTGCATTGCCTACCCTGACTTCCTCCCAGGATGGACTTGGCCCTGGGGTTTCATCACAGCATGGAAACCGCAGACTCGGACAAATAGGAAGTGGGGAAAACTGTAAACCCCCAAAAGACATCCCAGTGACCAGTGACTGCTTCCTTCACCAAGGCTCCATCCCCTAAAGGTTCCATAACCTCACCAAAGAGTGCCACCAAATGAGGACCAAGTGTTCACACACACAGGAGTCTATGGGGGAGCGTTTCTCACACAGACCACCGCGTGGACACTGACTTTAAATTGAAAAAAAAAATTGTGTTCAGGATTGAACCCAGGGCTCATTCAGACTAGGCAAATACTCTTGTGTGAGCTGTAACCCCAGCTCCAACCTGTTATTTTATATCATATATAAAATTAAATTATAGGTGGATTAAAAGGCTAGATTTTAATAACTTTGAAGGTACAGAACTATTAATATATTTACAAAAAAGCTAACATCGTGCTCACTTCGGTAGCACACATACTAAAGTTGGAACAACACAGGGATGCTTAGCGCGGCCCCTGTACAAGGATGTCACACAAATGGACGAAGGGTCAAGGTCAGCAGGGCTACAGAGTGAGACCCCTCTCAAAAACCCATCCAAAATCTTCTGAAATAATACAAGTAAAATGGTCAAAACACAAACAGAGTTACCTGAAAAGACAATGGGAGCGATTGGAAGTATGTGTGCCCTGCCTTTCCGGTAACCAAATGATGGTTGGTACTCCACACACTCACAACCATTAAAAAGCGCAATTGTGTTAGCTGGTCATAAGGCTAAAAAAAAAAAAAAAAAAAAAAAAAAAGGAGGGTGTTCATGTATTACAGAGGGTATGACACCTTTCAAAAAGAAGCCCTGATAGAAATATCCCCACCATTTTAACTTTTCATAGCACACCTAGCCATAGAGTCACAAACATGGGAACTTGATGAGGATCCACCAGTGAGAATAGATTTGGATAAATTATCATGCACTTAATATTAAGCAGATGCTACAAAGAATGAATTAGAAGGGCTTTTAACCTGGGTAAATACTCATGGTGTATTTTAAGCTAAAAAGTCATGAGGCGTAGCCTGTCTTTGTTTTTGTTTCAAAGCCCAGGGGAACAGGAAAGTAACAGACTCCCCCAATAACTAATATGTATCAGAATGGTGTTAGGTACACAGCAAATATTAAAGATCGATTGGTGACAGAGGGCGTGTTTGGAGAGTGTTTGTCATGAAGATAACCCGATGTTTTAGAAAGCGGGAGGGGGGGACCATTTCATAGGTTAAGATGGTCACGCGGGGACCCCGAGCTTGTGTTATGATGCTTTCTGCCTTTAGGCTCTTAAACTCATTTTAATTTTAATTTTACTTTGAGTGGATGGGTGTTTTGCCTGCACACATGTCTGCACATAAAGCGCACGCCTGGTACCTGCAGAGTCCAGAAGAGGGACTGGGATTGGAGAGACGATGGCTGTGAAGCTGCCATGAAACCGAACCCGAGTCCTCTGTGGGGGCAGCCAGCGTTCCTAACCCCGGAGCCTTCTCCCCAGCCACAGCTTTTATGTTCCTGCTACTGCAGTGCGGGTGGCAATGACTTCCTCCCCATGTGGGCCCCACTGTTGCAGCGAGCGAGAGACGAAGGCCAGAGATAGGAGTAATTCAGTTAGTTAAGAGACACTGGGATGTGAGTCACTGTCCTGAAGAGAATCTTCAAGTGTTTTCTCAACTGTTCCGGTGTAGGTGACAAAGTCTGAGGAAGCTGCTTCCCTTCCCAATGGAGACGTGGCGGGAGAGGCAGAAGGTGCTGCAGAGGTAAGGGCTGCTGCCGCCAGCGCACTCAGGGTGACTGCGTGGGCCTAACATTTCTTTCTCTCTTTTTTTGTCTACCTATGTATCTCTCTCTCTCTCTCTCTGTGTGTGTCTACCATCTATTTATTCACTTATCTATATATCACCTATCAGTCACTTATCATTCCTCTCTGTCATTCACCTACCTATTATCTATATTGTACCTATCCGTATACCTATCATCATTATTGTCTATTATGCCTTTTATCTATTGTCCGTCTGTCCGTCTGTCCATCCATCCAAACATCCAGTTCACCCTTATTCGTTAATATCCATCCATCTACGCATCTGTCACCTTCTCCAACCTTACACGAGTGACTCAACACCCTTCTACTCAGTGGCTTATGGCGGCAGCACACCGGCAGTCTGTTAGAAGCTTGGGGCCTCGGGGAGTTTGTGTCAGCGTGTAAATGACCTCGTGTTGGGGAAGTCTTATGTCAAAGCACTGTTGAGCCAATAGGAATCTAGATAGGTGGGACTAGGAGTTCAGGAGGATTCTGGGAAGGAGAAACACAGGAGATTCAAGATGTAACGCCATGGGGTAGGAGACATAACTTAGATTAACAATTATGGGGTAATTACTTAAGTCAGAGCTAGCCAGTAAGAAATAAGCAAGGCCAACAGCTTCATAATTAATATAGCCTCCTGTGTGCTTATTTGGGACTGATGGGGCTCTAGAACCAGGCTGGCGGGAAGGCTTCTCTCAAAGGAAAAGCTTCTCTTAACAACCTCGTGTAGAGGAGGTGTCTTCCTAGCTTCACGCAGGCTGTCAGAACCGGAAAGGCGAGTGTGGCCCGCTGTTTCCTCGAGAGCTTACCGAAGGCCAGTGATTCTTCTGAGTTTCTTTTTTTCCCTCCCAAACAGGGGACAGAGAAGGCCGAAGGAAGTGGTGAGAATGAGGCACAGCAAGAGGACAAGGAACCCCAAGAGAAGGCCGTGAGTGTTTGCTGTGTTCCCAGTGGTTTTGTCGCACCTGCCAATAGCTGAATCCCTGGAGGGTGCCGGGAGTCATGCTGAGCTCACAGCTTCGAGGAAGACAGTGGGCGCTGATGGGAGCATAGGTGGAGGAACCAGCTGTTTCCACTCCTGTTTTAGCTGCCGGGGACCCGGGCTTGGTGGGAGACAGTGCAGGCTTCAGCGGCTCATCATGCATCCAGGGAGAAGTCGCATTCACGTTCTTGCTCAGACACGGGTCCTGACTCCTTGACTTGAGTGATGAGTAGCTCCTACATGTAGCTCCCTGTGGACCTCCTGGGGAAAAGAGCCAGGGCGTTCGAGTGTCCTTGGGAAGGAGACTCACGGAGTTCGGTGTTCAGGGGACCGACAAGTCCCAGCAAGCCTGAGATATGCATGGGGCCTGCTCCTAAGGAGATGCACTATTCAGGGACAGGTGCTGATGCTGTGGGCATTGTGTAAGGAGCAAGAGCAGTGGGTGTGGGGACTACCTAAGGGATGGTGGGAATGTGGCTGGCAAGGTCTTGGGGTGGCATTGGCTGCCCTAGGAGCCTTGTGGGTTGGGGTTGGGCTCCAACAGGCCTCTGGCCCAGCCTCCCTAGGGGAGAGTTTCGGTGCGAACATTATGAGAACTTCATACGATGGTGGACGCATTACAACAGGCTCATGTTTGTGCTGGTTCTTGTTATGGAAAAGGCCAAATCGCTCTGAGTCTCGTTCGTTGCCAGCTGGTGCTCTTCATCCGAAAATCTCAAAGCCCTGGGCTTGGTGACACCTGGCTGAAGTCTCACCACCCTGGCTCCTCCCCAAACAAGTCTGACGTTGGTAAAGGCCAGCGTGGAAGGAGCTCCTTTTGAAAAGCTTGCAGGCCCGAGACTGGGCTCAGGGCCAGAGACTCAGGGGACACCTCCCCTCCCCCAGCGCTGTCTCCTCCCCTCCCCCAGCGCTGTCTCCTCCCCTCCCCCAGCGCTGTCTCCCCCCCTCCCCCCAGCGCTGTCTCCTCCCCTCCCCCAGCGCTGTCTCCCCCTCCCCCAGCGCTGTCTCCTCCCCTCCCCCAGCGCTGTCTCCCCCTCCCCCAGCGCTGTCTCCTCCCTCCCCCAGCGCTGTCTCCCCCTCCCCCAGCGCTGTCTCCCCCTCCCCCAGCGCTGTCTCCTCCCCTCCCCCAGCGCTGTCTCCTCCCCTCCCCCAGCGCTGTCTCCCCCCCCCCCCAGCGCTGTCTTCTCCCCTCCCCCAGCGCTGTCTCCCCCCTCCCCCCGCGCTGTCTCCTCCCCTCCCCCAGCGCTGTCTCCTCCCCTCCCCCAGCGCTGTCTCCTCCCCTCCCCCAGCGCTGTCTCCTCCCCTCCCCCAGCGCTGTCTCCTCCCCTCCCCCAGCGCTGTCTCCCCCTCCCCCAGCGCTGTCTCCTCCCCCTCCCCCCAGCGCTGTCTCCTCCCCCTCCCCCCAGCGCTGTCTCCTGCCAGTTCGTGGGCTAGCTGCCCTTTCAGGCCACACTGGCAGGCCTCAGCGTCATCCTCGCCGCCCATGTCTGACACTCGTCACCGCTGACACCTGTCCTTGGTTCTGTCCCGGTGCCATGTCAGTGGCCCAAGCCTTTGGCTAAGTTCCCAACAAAAATCAGCTGCAGCGTGGAAGGCCTAAGATGTCTCATTCCCCATGTCTGCTCCTGGTGGTTCCCATGGAGAGCCGCACTGTGTTGCCGGAGTTTTCTTCCCAGCCCGGCCCCGCAGACGATTAGCCCACGAAGACTTTAATATTAATTACAAGACTGCTGCCTGATGGTTAGGGCTTCTTACTGGCTGGCTCTCTCTTAATTACCGACCCATAACTGCTAATCTCTGTGTTTTTACATGGCCTTATCTTAACGGACAATGCGCCTGGCGTGTCCTATTTTCCCGGTCTCTACGTGGCATCTCTTCCTCAAGGCTTCTCTCTCTGCCTTCCTCTCCCCAACCTTCTCCTGGTTCTGGTAGCCCCGCCTATCTTCCTGCCTGGCTGTTGACCAATCAGTGTTTTATTCATCAACCAATAAGAGAAACATATATACATACACATACATACACACATATCTATCTATCTATCTCTACCTATCTATCTGTCTGTCTGTCTATCTATCTATCTATCTGTTTGTCTATCTCTATCTATCTGTCTGTCTGTCTGTCTATCTCTACCATCTATCTATCTATCTATCTATCTATCTATCTATCTATCTCTACATCTGTCTGTCTATCTATCTATCTACCTATCTATCTCTACCATCCATCTATCTATCCATCCATCCATCCATCTATCTGTCTATCTATCTATCTATCTATCTATCTATCTATCTATCTATCTATCTATCTATACCATCTATCTGTCTGTCTGTCTATCTATCTATTTATCTATCTCTAATTATCTATCTATCTATCTATCTATCTATCTATCTATCTATCTATCTACATCCCCCATCAGCACTGTGACATCATTTGGGTTGGTGCTGGCTCCTGCCCCTGTCTGCAGTCCTGCGATTCCTACCCCGTTGCGTGCAGCCCTGTGAGCACTTGATTTCATTAACGCAGCCCCTACAGCTCTCTTTACAATGCTTTTGTCTATGCAGATATTTCCTAACCATAAAATTGAGTTCCGGCGTTGTGCACAGTTGGCTTTGTCAACAGCCGCCTAGCTGAGACACTGTCTGGTTCTGTGAGCTTATGTTGGAAAAGCTTTTGGAGCTGATATATCATTGTACCCTCAGCTTAGGAAGGATTGGAAGCAGGAGCGGTATTTGATAAATATATTCAATTTTATCTGTTGATTGAGCCACTGCCCCATGCCAGGCAGAACCTCAGTGATTAGGAGGGAGCAATGGGGAGGCAAAGCCCTGCCCTGAGGGGGAGCCTTGTTTTGACTGCTAGTGATGACAATATCTAGGGCCCTTCAAAGCTGCTTTAGACTAGACTACTTATTTACTTATTATGATTATTATTATTATTACTATAATATAAATAGATATATTTGCTCTTTAAGGCAGGATTTCTCTGTGTAGCCCTTGCTGTCCTGGAACTTGCTCTGTTGATCACACTGGCCTCGAACTCAGATATCCACCAACCTCTGCCTCCCTGAGTGCTGGGATTAAAGGCGTTCGCCACCACCGCCTGGCTTTAGAGGCTATTTCTCTGAGAGTTCTTGGCAGATGCCTTTCTCTAGTGAGTATATCGTCCAAGAAATTAAGGTCATTCTCAGTATTGATAAGGAGGGCTACGTCCCTCTTCTGTTACTGATAGTCACCTAAGGTTGAGACCAGCAGTTACTGTAGTGAAACTTCCCCCTCTGTAGTCCAAGCTAGCTCTATGGTCTCCCCGTTTTTAATGGTACCTTGTTTCACCGGGATACTAAAAGTTCTTGGAGTTATGAAAATGTAAAACTCCATAGGACTGATGGCTCAATGCCGCATATGATGACGTTTAATCTGGTGACAGGAGGATAAGAAAGAAAATGAAAGTTCTCCGAGAGGCAGAGAGCAGGTAGCAGGCTTCACGTGTTCCGGCTCCCAGCCACTTACTGGTGTTTATCAAATTTACAACTTGGTTCCACCAGCGGCAGGATCCTAGAGGCCCTGAGAATAAACAAGGGTCAGATCACATGTGCAGGGAACACGCACAACAGCCAGAGAGACCAACTCAGTGAAGGCCGTGGGAGCCAATCTGAGACCCACGGCTCGGCCTTCTGGATTAGGAAATGTCTTCACCTGCAAACCTGATTTTGAGCCGCTGCTAGTGCCAGAGAATCTCACAGGGGTTCAGCTTTGCTGAGCAAGGAGCTCGAGGAGGAGGGGAGGGAAGCCAGAGGGTAGGCAGGGGCCAGATGGCTTTGTTGTTGTGGTTTTTGAGACAGGGATTCTCTGTGGCTTTGGAGGCTGTCCTGGAACTCGCTCTGTAGACCTGGCTGGCCTCGAACTCACAGAGATCTGCCTGCCTCTGCCTCCCGAGTGCTGGGATTAAAGGCATGCACCACTAACACCAAAGGAGACATTCTGGGTTTAGTAGGAACTCCGGGAGAGATCTCCAAGTGGGAGAATCTTTGATGTAGGGAACAAAGGGAATTTCTGGTTCTCATAGGTTCCTGGGGATGGGTTGGAAGGGTAGCTGGTTCCATACCACGTGATTCAGCCTACGTGCAGGGAGCAAGAAGGCCAGAAGGGGTTAAATAAGAGACTAAAGCCATCCTGGAGTCTGGGCATCAGGGAAATGGACTCATCTCAGCTGCCGGAGGGAGGGTGTATAAGTCCATGCTGGTGTTGCTTGTGCCTCCAACTGACGAGAGACAAGCTGCTATATCCCCTTCTCTTAAAGTGGCAGTGTCCTTTAAGGTCTGTAACCTAACAGCCAAGCCAAGACCATGAATTTGAATGAGAGCAAATGGGGTGGGCGGGGAGGACATAGGGGGAGTTGGAGAGAAGAGAAGGGGGAAATGAGGTAATTATAATCTCAAAAACTACCATCACTGTGCCACAGTAGGTATATGGAGGTCCAAGGACAACCCTGCGGGCTCAGTTCTCTCATTCCACCTTTATAGGGACATGGGGCTTGAACCCAGGCTTCCAGGCTGGCACAGCAAGTGACTTACTCACCGGGCCTTCTCACTGGCTATTTGGTAGCTGCAGTAAACACACACTTATAAGGCCACACAGGCAGTAAGGACATTTTTATTTTGGTTGGTTGTGTCTCTGATCTGAACCGTGCTAGATCGTGACAGCTTTGCTGTGTGCGCGCCTCTCGGATAACAATGCCAGGCTCTTTCAACGAGCTTCCTTTTCACTGTGGTTTGCTTGCCTTAGAAATTCACCTTAAATCTCACTCCGGTTTTTTTTTTCTTTGTGGCCTAAGGGAGAAGAGGGAGAAGAAGAGGGAGAGAGAACTACAGAAGAGGTAGGGGGTGCCACCGTTAGCCGCTGGCTTAATTAGCTTAGTGAACGCATCCACTGGAGAGCCAGGGCTGCCTTGGCTGCATTCCTCTCATTTGTGTGTGTATTTATGTGCATATATGTATGTGTGTATTTGTGTATGTGTGTATTTGTGTGTGTATTTATGTATATGTGTGTGTGTATGTGTATATGTGTGTCTGTGTATATGTTTGTGTGTATGTATGATGTGTGTGTGTTCATGTGTGAGTGCATGTGTGTGTGGTGACTGGAGGTCAGTGTCTGATGTCTTCAGCCACTCTCTACCTCTCTTGTGAGGCAGATGTCACTAGGAGCCCTCAGTTCTAGCTTGGCATCTTATTCCCATTGTGCCCTTCTGCGTCTCAGTAATGGTGTGATTCTGTAAAATCTAGACGGAAGAGGTAGCGGAGGAAGGAGCAGAGGGAGAGGCTGGAGAAGAGGAAGCCGAGGAAGAAGCAGGACAAGGGGAAGACTCTTAGGCCTTTCAGGCTGGTTCTGCAACTTTCCCAGGTAAGTGCAGGATTCTGGTTTGTTTTGTCCCTGTGTAGGACTGTGTGACCTCTCACACACACCTCTCCTGCCTGGCTCTGGGCACTGCCGGGCTTCAGACTACCGTGCCCACTAGGAGCCCTCTGACAAGGAAGGGTTAAGAAGGGTTAGGGTGCATGCATGTCCTCCTCTACAGTGTGCTGTGACAGCGGCTGGTTTCACGAGATGCAAGGACAACGCATTTGCAGACGCCAGATTACTGCTCCCGTTGTCTCTATGACCCAGCCTGAGGCAGCCGATCTTTTCAAACTTCCTCACAGTTCTTCTGCCACAACTTTAAAACAAAACAGAAACCAACCAAACAAAAAAACCTAAAAAAGTGTTTTAGTCTCCTTCCTGTCTATATGACACCTGTGTGTGTGTGTGTGTGTGTGTGTGTGTGTGTGTGTGTGTGTGTGTGTGTGTGTGAGAGAGAGAGAACAGCATGGGCATTCCTTCTCGGCTTTCTTACGAACAAGAAGCGGATATCAAGATGGTTAATATGGCCAGGCGGTGGTGGCAGAGACAAGTAGATCTCTGTGAGTTAGAGACCAGTGAGGTCTACAGAATGAGTTCCAGGAGAGCCAGAGCTACACAGAGAAAGAAAAAGGTGATTAGCATGTCTTCTTGGAGTTGGTGGGAATTTCCGTCACAGTTGGTTATTAGACCATAGAAACTGTTACACTCTGCTTACGTTACAAAGCAGATCTAGGTCACGGCTTGATGTTTCTCCACCACCTTCTCTCCTGCTGTTGACACACACAGACCTCTACTTTAAGGTCACCTGTCTGTCTGCTGATGAGGAACGATTCGGGACTCATGCTTAAGAAAGAGTAAATTGGCGGTTTTATGAAATTCCATCTGAAGAATTGGGAAAATAATGCAAAAGTGATGATAGTTATCACCCAACCAGCAGCACAACAAACGGGGCCGAGGAGCCACAGCCTCCCCCAAGCACCGTGCAAATCCGCTGACACTCACACGACTTGCAGAGTCCCTTATAAAACTATGCAATTTTTTTTTTTGTTTTATGAGACAGGGCTTCTCTGTATTGTTTTGGAGGCTGTCGGTCCAGCCTGGCCTCGAACTCACAGAGATCTGCCTGCCTCTGCCTCCCGAGTGCTGGGATTAAAGGCGTGCGCCACCACCGCCCGGCAAACTGTGCAGTTTTAATCTAGTGATTATAAAGACACTTACTGCGGAATGGCACGGCAGAGGGAGGAGCCTTCATGTTTGGATGGTGTCCAGGCCCAATCCCAAAGCTAAAATAAAAGTGTAAGAGCTTCGTGGGGTTGTGTTGTGGCGGAGCATTTTTGTCCGTTTCTCTGAGGGTGCTAGGTCAGAACCCAGCCCACCTGAGCATGACAGAGTGAACCAGGTGGTGCCCAGGTTCGCCCTTGGCTCCCACTGATTCAAGTGCCTCATGGTTGGCGGCAGGGTCACAGTCTCCGGGGAACCGCTCAGCTTTCCAGAGACAAACCTGTGCAGGTTCGTAGGGAGTGTGTACTCCCTCAGTTTGAAAACATGGTCTGAGCCGGGCATTGGTGGCGCACGCTTTTATTCCCAGCACTCGGGAGGCAGAGGCAGGCGGATCTCTGTGAGTTCGAGGCCAGCCTGGTCTACAGAGCTGAGTTACAGGACAATACAGAGAAACCTGTCTCGAAAAAAAAAAAAAAAAAAAAGAAGAAAGAAAAGAAAAGAAAACACGGTCTGCTGGAGACCATGGCAGTGAATAGAACAGCGGAGACAGTGTCCTGTCCAATTTAGAGTGAGACTCCAAACTGATGGCTGAGCTTGAGGAGCAAATAGCGTACAGGGTTCAGATTCTATTTCGTTGTTGTTTATTTATTTTTTTGTCTTTTGCAGCAGAATCTCGCTCTGTCACACTTACTGGCCTGAAACTCCCTATTTATACCAGGCCTGCCTAGGACTCATGAACTCACAGAGATCCTCTTTCTTCTGCCTCCTAAATGCCGTGACTAAAGGCAGGCGCCACAATGCCCAGCTGAATTCTACCTCCCGAGGCCGGAGAGATGGCTTGGTGGTAAAGAGTACTTGCTGCTCTCGCAGAGGACCCGAGTTTGGTTCCTAGGATCTTCATTGCCTGTAGCTCCGGCTCCAAGGGCCTTGATGCATCCATGGGTGCCATCATATGTACATGACACACGCTGACACGTACACACACACACACACACACACACACACACACATGCAAGCATACAAATAAAAAAATAAGTTCGAGGGAGTTCCAGGACAGCCTCCAAACAATACAGAGAAACTCTGTCTCGAAAAACCAAAAAATAAATAAAAAAGTTAATTAATTCATAAATAGGCAGTACTTCCCAGTGTTTTGCCACTCAGCACTGCCTCCTAATGTCACCTTGCATTGCTGAAATTCCCTCTCGGGGACTCCGTTGTAGTCCTCTCTGCTTTCCATGAACAAACATCGAGGAAGCTAGTTAGAGCTGCCCTTCTTCTGGTGTCTTCGATACGTTAACTCTGACAGCCAGTTTCAAACCTGGCTTGGCTTTCATGAAAGACATTTATTCTATCTTCTCGGCTTTGGGGCCAGAATTGGTAAACTGTGGTCAAGCCTTCCTGGATTGGGCGTTGAATAGCGAAGGTTACGGTAGACACTCCTGTCTTTAAGAGTCTTCTCCGGACATTTCCTTTCTTTCAGAATATCGGAGCCACAAGGCCGCATTTTCAACTCTCTCTCCACTAACTCGATGAAATCTTTGGCTCGAAGCCAGCGCCCTCCCCTCAGCAAACGTGGGTTCACCGAGGACTTCTGCGCAAGGTGTATTTGGACTCCCCATTCACTGTGTCAACATGAGGCTACATGTGAAGACCGCGTGCGCAACTGTGAGCGCACTGTGCCCACAATTCCTGGTCTTTACTTAAGTTTCGCTCCTTTTGCTGTGCACAAGCAGACCTTCCCCTAACACTCTGCCGAGAGGCGTTTTACTGTGATGTAGCAGGAGTAGCGTGTGCTCTGCGCACTGCTTGTCTTTAGGCTTGTCTTTCAAAACAAAGCGTTTCCCGGAGAGCAATCACAAATAAAGATGGATAGCAATAGTCTATCTAGTCTTAACTCTTTTTCTTCCCTTCCAGTCTGCTCACGTCTTTGCATTTTTGTGGACTTGAATTTGCTCTGTGTGTTCAGACCAAATCCTGGGTTAACCCTGAGGTAGACTTGTTGCACTAACTGGTTCAGGTTTTCGAATGGCATTGTCCAGTTGTGTTACGCGTCTCGTGTGACACAGAGTGCTGTGTGCACCTTGTCTGTGGAGCCTGACTGTGGAGTACTCCACCCACACAGTCATGAACGCAGCTAGGACCAGACATCTGCAGCCTCGTGGCCCGTGCATTTCTGAGGCACAGGAACGGGTTCCTCTGTTCTGCAGGCTGCTGAGATTGATTTGCAGCCCTTCTGCCTCTCTGGGAGCCATAGCCTGGGGTGTGGGTCAGCGACAGCTACCGCAGTCGCCTGGGTGTGCTCTGGGTAGATTGGACAGCGACACAATGCTTACCTGCCCAGGTTACTTCACCGGAGACATTTTCCCTCCCCGCGGCTCTCCCTTCTCCCTGCCATGCCGTGCCTGCTGCCTCTGTCTTCTGGGGGGAGGGTTCTGTCTTTGCTGTCCTGCCCCCTCCTGTCCCAGTGACTGTCTCTCAGTGTCCCATGGAGTGATGCGGACTTTCCCCTGTGCTGTTTAGGAATGTATTGTGCGGTTACAGCAGTCATGGGGAGCCCAGAGACTCTGGGAAACAGCTCTTTTCTTGTTACCTTGGTAACAAAAAGAGACTTTTTTTGAAGAGAAAGTTATTCTTTTCCCAAGTCACTGAAGTACCTTCCTTTAAAAACATTTTTCCCTTTTGCTAAAAGACTGGTGAAATGGAAACCCGACCGATTAAAAGGTAATTCCTCTTTTTTCTCTTCTTCACTGCGCCGAATCACATTCTGGTAGCATCCTAGAAAGCGACAACTCCATGCACTTCTTGCTGGTGCTTAGGGCTGACGTTCAGTCCTTCCTCAGCCGAGTATGAGTGAGGGAAGCTAGGCTCACTGACAATTCACCTCTTAGTTCACACATTTTTTTTTAAGCAGGAGGTAGAGGCAGGAGTGGATCCCCCCACCCTCGCCCCCCAGTGAGGGGTCATGTCTTGAGGAGCATCGGCCAAGGTTGACCTCTTGTCTCTGTGAGCAATGCACTCGTGTGTCCCCAATAACTCAAAATTCCACATTAAAGCAAAACAACAAAACCAAACCGGGAAGCCCTCTCAAGAAGTTGACTCATTTTAAGGTTAATCCGATGGGACCAGAAGATTAACAAGTTTGGTTAGTCTAAAGAAGGCCTGTGCGTTCAAAATAAGATTTCTATTTAGAAAATCAACGACACAAAGGCTTGAGTTAATTTTTGCAGCCCCTTTCAACCCCTCTTCCCATCGTTTCATTCCCCCGGAGGGGTGTCCTTCATTCCTTCTGTTCCAGAATCTGCCTCACGCCCTAAGAACAGCTTGTTCTTGTGATCCATGTTAGTGTAGAACAGGGAGAGACTGAGATGTTCTCTCTGCAAAGCATCTTGGGGAATCTGCGAGTATTTTCTCAGAGTCCTCCAATCCTGAAAACCCCTGCCAACACAGGAAGTGGCCCGAGCTGTAATAACAGAGAATTGCCCTTAGGTGGCGACAAAAGACAAGCTTCTTGGATTGGTGTCGCAGGGTCCCTGCTGCCTGTTTGTCCACCACAGGCTGGCTGCTGCGGTGTGAAATCTGAGGCGTCTCAACCAGAAGAAGGAAGAGAGCAGACGTGACTAAAATTTGTGAGCTCACAAGCACGTCACTTACAATGCTTTTATCCAATTTGTTTTGTGCAAGATGTTGTGCAGGCCTAAAATTATTACATGTGTGCATATGCATATCATGCTCTCTAGGCCTGAACTCTTGGGGGAGGGTCCTTGCCCTGAATGAAATGATAGACTCCGGAGATCCTCCAAGGAAGGTCTCACCCTCCCTGGGGATCCGAATGGGGATTGGGTAGGTGGGTGGCGGTTGGGGGGGCCTGGTGGGGGGCGGGGGAGGAGGGGAGGGAGAAGGAGCTGGGATTGACATGTGAAGCAAGCTTGTTTCCAATTTAAACAAAAAAGAGTGACCACAAAAAACCCACAAAATAATGCATATCACGAAATAATCGATTTCATGATGGCATTTTCATACATAAATATATCATGTAATTTTTGCTGATGGTCACCCCTTATTGTAACTCCTCCCTCTGCTGGTTCTCATATGAATCCTTAATTTCTTTCTTCCTTCCTTCCTTCCTTCCTTCCTTCCTTCCTTCCTTCCTTCCTTCCTTTCCTTCCCTCCTCCTCCTCCTCCTCCTCTTCCTTCTTCTCCTTCTCCTCCCTCCTTCTTCTCCTCCTCCTCCTTCTCTTTCTCCTTCTTCTTTTTGTTTGCGTTTTGATACAGGGTTTCTCTGTAGCTTTGGAGCCTGTCCTGGAACTCGATTTGTAAGCAGGGCCTCAAACTCACAGAGATCCGCCTGTCTCTTGTCTCCTGGGTGCTGGGGATCAAAGGTTTGTGCCATCACCACCTGACTAAGTTTTTTTTTTCTCTTTAAATGTGCATGGCTGTTTTGCCTTTCTGTTATGGCTGTGCACCACCTTAGTGCGTGGTCCAGGAAGTTAGAAGGGTGTTGGGCCCCAGGCCCCATGGGGTCTCTGTGAGTTGTTTGTCAGCAAATAGCCAAAGGGGCATCCTGTTTTTTAGTCCTGGCTTACAGACCCTGACTTGCCCCACTGGCATCAACCTCTAATTATGAAAACAGAGCTCTTACACCTGGGGTTTCTCCACTCTGCTTTAAGTCTGTATATAAGGCTGCTCCCTCTTTGCAATAAAGACTCTCTCTCTCTCTCTCTCTCTCGCTCGCTCGCTCGCTCGCTCGCTCGCTCTCTCTCTCTCTCTCTCTCTCTCTCTCTCTCTCTCTCTCTCTCAGCACAAATGGCCATGGCGCAGGCACCACAGAAGAGGGAGTCAGATCTCCTGGGACTGAAGTTTCAGACAGTTATGAGCCACCGTGTGGGTGCTGGGAATCAACTCCTGGTCCTTTGGAAGAGCAGCCAGTGCTTTTAATCACTGAGCCATCTCCCCAGCCCTGCCCCCTTTCCAGCCCAGTCGTACCTGGGTATGCCCCACAGAAGGGACTCATTTAATGCTTAGTTACTGGCTACCACTGGACAGTTGCCTTGAGTTCCTGGTGGCAGTTTTTAGCAGTTGAGAACATTTTCTGTCTGGGAATAACTCTGAGAGGTGACAGGTGTCTAAATATTGGGGTTTCTTTGGTTGGTCGTGTAGCAGGTCAGTTTTTTCTGGGGGTCCTTGCTAAAATATTTGTCTAGGGGCCCAGACAACCCTAACAAGCTAGATTTAGTCATCTATCTCCTGTGGCCAATTAGAGAGAAAGGAGGGGCTGGAGACATGGCTCAACTGGTTAAGAGCACTGGCTGCTCTTCCAGAGGACCCAGGTTTAATTCCCAGTACCCATACGGTGCTCACAACTCCAATCCCAGGCAATCTGACATTCTTGTCTGGTCTCCACAGGCACCGGGCACACTCACACATGTCTGGTGCACAGAGACACATGCAGACAGAGCACATGCATACAATAAAAATAAATGAAAACAAGAGAGGAATGACCATGCAGAGCAGAGCAAGGGAATTCATTCGAGGCGTCAGGATGCAGACCAGACAGCTGCACAGGCCGTGACTGCGGCAACCTCCCTCCTTCTCCCTAGCAGCCCGTGAACCCCAACTTCCCGACTGCTTCTCCAGGGAGGTTGTCAAATCTGACACATCTAAGGGCTACTGATGAAGCCTCCCAGCTCTGACCCCAGTTGAAGAATCAGGTCTGGCCCAGTTCCCGGCTCCGGTGAGACCATTTAAGGAAGGTTCCTGACTCAGCTCTATGATCCCGAACTCCTCAGAGTCCCTGTCTAACTGTTGTCTGTCCATCTGCTCACGGCATTCATAACTATTCCAATGAACTTCTTACCCCCAGCAGTCTGACTCAGTGACCTCCATGAACCATTTCAAGCCATGAAATTTAAGTTTAAACAGAGGTGACTGTATGTACAACTGGGCAGTCCTGGCCAAAGTGTGGTTCTCCTGTCTCAACCCTACTCTCTCCTGCCAGGTGCCAGAAATGTATGAAATTTCTTCGTATGGTCCAGGTTCCTCCTCTGGCTGGCCCCAGGCTTCAGCTTTTACCTCCTCCCAGCTCAAGATCCTGGGGGGGGGAGAATTCTAGTTCCTTCAGTACTCCGATGGCCAAACGAGGGACACACGTCTCTTTGCAATGTCTTGATATCTGCCAGGATGGTTACAGGGAACTGGAGTCAGAAATCCAGTGCACCCAAGTCTTCACAGCTAAGGCCTGGGAAAGCACACCAGATTTTCCTGGTTTTAGAGAGCTGTCATCTCACAGCTTGAATGAATCGGACTTTTGTGTCCCTACAAACAATACACACAGTTCTCTGCTCTGGGATGGGCTGGCTGCCCTGGGCCTTGTGCTGTAGACTGTGCCTCTCTGAGTAAAACAGCCACCATCTTCGTGGGATCCACAGGGCCTGCTTGTAAAAGGTCATCATACAGTATTTGTCGGTTGTTGACATTCTCTATAGACGGAGTGGACTTTTCTGTCCTCTTCTCCAAGCTATCTGTGTGCAATTCTGCCCCAGCTGAGCAGGGCCTCCCAAGTCTAGGGAGGTGTTTAGTGTATGGGCTGTGGGAAGACTTGTATCTTACAGTGATCCATGCTGGGGTTGTTGCCTTTTAAGGGTCTTGATCAGGTCCCTTCCTTTTCTGTGACAATTAAGGGAATAAAAGGCAGGAAATCTTGAGCACATCAGGCAGCCAACAGCAGGAAAAATCTCAGACTCAGCAGATAGGATCAGTCAGTAAAGAAAGGATTTTACTGTGGGTGAGAAAACACAGAGACACATAGACACACAGAACACAGACACAGACACACACAGACACACATATAGACACACAGACACAGACATATACACACACAGACA